ACTTTGGATTTTGTCATTTTTCGCTACATGTTGCTTCTTTCTCCAATTGTTCATCAAACATCGAGTTTTACCTACAAGATGTAATCTGACACAATTTAGGTCATAATTTGCCAAAAGAACAATAAAATTCTATAGTTTCAAACCCTGAATAAGTGTAGAAAATACACTTATCAGTAATCACTCCAAGGGAATCAGAATTCAAATGATATGCTCGCAGAGATGTTTACATTTGAAAAACTAAAGTTGTGTGCAACTTGATAGGGGCTTCTCACTTGATGAAGAGAAGCGGGTGTTGTTGTGGAAATCATTTCGTGGAATTTTGATTTTCTCATAGAAGATTGGTGGATGTATGGAGCCTAATATACCGTACATTTTTTCCTCAGTTGCGGTTCGACCTTCATGGTAAGGTCAATAGGGAAGAAGAGGGTATAGTAGGCCATCTAGAGTAGGTAGGGTTGGTGGCAAAAGCCATCGAGGAAACAAAATTAAATAATTTAGGGGTACTTTAGAAAATTCGCACATATATTAAGTCACCCTAGTATTTCTTCCTATATAAAGGGTATTACGGAGAACCTCATCCATTCTTAGTAATATAGTACAGAGAAACCAGAGAGAGATAGGAGTCCAAAAATACAGTGATTCACTTCATTGGTCTTGTGCAATTCGCAATTGCACTTGGTACAATAGCTCTTGTATTGCAGGTAAAGCATATTACATTGGGTGTTCAATTGTTCTTGGTAATACAGATTATTCGTTTAATCCATAACAAACAATCATACCATAATTGATTTTCTCCATAATCTCTATACTGCACCATAAAATAAATTTACAAAAACAGGGATTATGATAATGCCTTTAGATTAAAATGTGTATTTTTTATATTACCACTTTTATGATATAACGTAGTTGTAAGTGAGCATTCCACAGGGTGATTATATGGATGAAGTTAGTGTGTAGCTCCAAAAGCTCGATTTTGATTGAAAACAATTCTTGTACGAGAAACATAATTAAGGGGGAAAAAAGGGCAAATTCTTGAAGGAAATGTAATGTCAACGGAACAGTCTAGTATATCTATAGGGTAGACGCAATGCGGTAGCTTGGGTTCTCCTCTCCAGCAGTCGAATTCAGTCATCGCAAAAAACACACATATGGCCCGTTCAATGTATACATGAGACATGCATGCAGCAAAGAGAAGGATGAGGACTTCAGTGCATCAGAATCTGAATTTCGAAGAATAATTTGCCACTGAATTTCCAAAACTACATATCAGTTAATGCACTCTCCCTGAGGGCAAATGTTGGCCACTGCGTTTTGTGGAAGTTGCATGGCGCTCATCTTCAAAGCTAACAGCAAATTAGCCATCTTAAGCAACAAACTCAACAACTCATATCCTACCATTTGTTCGAAGACATATTCCGTACATGCAACAGTTAGAAACATGGCAACTTGCATTTGCTTATGCTGTGATGCCGACCAAAACTAGTTGCAGGACCACCTGGTGGAAGCCCGAGATGCTCCTCATTATACTTGACAACCAAAAGGCACAGACCATGTGGTGGAACTGACAAGGCGTACTCGGCAAGTTCCTTACGATCTCTAGATCCCAAAATTCTGGGGACTATATCGGGGGGAACTGCTTCTCTCCCAACTTGAAGCAATAAAGCAACCTGTAAAGGTACATGAAAAGAGAAAATGAATTCTGATAGAGTCACTAGTACGAAAAATTGAAGTTTTATATCACTTCATAAAAATCACGATTAGCAAGCTCAAGTGCGCAACATTCTCCTTATCCGAATATTAACTACGCAGTTAGACTGAATTATGCTGAAGTAGAATGGACTATGGAGGATGCTTATGAAAAAGAATTAGAAATGGAGGAGAATTGAATCAAATACCATGTTTCTAACTTGTCTATATAGAAAACCAGATCCTTCCACTTCAAGTTGCACAAGAGGTCCCTGCAGAGAATAAAGTTCCATTTGAAACTATAAATTTTAACATAAATAAATTTGTAAATATTACAAATAAGCAAAAATTGTTGTGTTCATTATTTTTGCAGACGATTATCTATTATTTCAGTTTCTGACCTTAAAATTCCTATAGTTTCAACTTTCTTTCAAAGAATACACAAACATACACATCATCCTGGTAGACAAATTAAGAGCACAAGGCCAAACCTTTGGAAAAGCTAACGAAAAAGAAAAAGAAGACAACCAAGCACATCACTGATAATAATTAATATATACTTCGAAAGCAGGTAGTCATAAGCAAAAATGCAGCAAAGATATAGGCAATTGTCACAAGAAAGTTGGAAAACAGAGTATGGAAGTGGATATGGTTTTCCCAAAACCACTGCAGGAACCACCATCGGATCAGGCAATAATTTACACATTGGTTCCTCTGCTTCTAAAGTAAAAAGGAGAGGACTTTCTTGGAGCTGACAAGTACCATTTCGTTTACATTAAAGTGAAAGATTTTCTTCACTGGGTTTGGAACCCGATCATTGCGTGATGTATTGGCAAAAGCAGAGAAGTCGTGCTTTCCCACAAAATGCCTAGCAGCTTCCCTCATGGCTGCAACGTTGAGTTTATAGATACTATGGTAAGCATACCGCTGGTGAAACGGGTCCATGATGGTATCATTGTAAATCTTGTAATGATAAATCTTGCTTTTGACGGAAAAACGGGCATGAAATTCAGGCACCACAGAGCTGATTTCTCTAACTCTGATATCAGAAGGAAGAAGACCATTTAAAGCTTTGTGAACGCCTTCCAGGCTGTCATAGTTGAAAGGCGTGATGAAATGTGCTACCTGAGAACTAAAGTCATCATTCATCAATTTGTTCATCATTGTCTTAAATTCCCTAGACTTTGTAAGAATTAAAACAGACCTGACCCCAGGCATGAACTCCTGCGTCCGTTCTACTAGCACCAACTAAAAGAAGATCTTTCCGTTCTAATTTTGTTATTCGAGTTAAGGCTTCTCCAACAATACATTGCACAGTTGGAGTTGACTGTTGATATTGCCATCCTAACATTCAACATTCAGGACTGTAAGATACCAGAGAAGAGTACAAATGAATTGCCTTGGTGAAATTTACACTTGTTCTGGGGATGAGGATGGAATTAAGTGCACAATTCAGGTGAATATGAAGTCTCAAAACACTTCAAAACCAATAGTTTATGAATTTCCTAACCACAAATGAAAAACCCTTATACAGGACTCAGTTTTCAAATCAGTGCCCCAAATTACATAAATATAGCCAATTATGCCAGCATATCAATGTCAAAGAATCAATTCTCCATACCCATACAGAAAGAAAAGAAAAATTGAGAATTATAAATCGACTAATGAATTAAACCTGAAAACCGGGTCCCGTCGTAGGCTATAACCAAGCGCCACTTATAGGTGGGAGGTTTGAGCTTATTCGTGTCATTATCTTGCTCATCACAAGTTAAGTTCTGCTCGCAACGAAGGAAACAAGAAAGACGAGTTTCACTATACACGATAACTGTGAGAATGTAGTAATGGAAATGCGGAATTTGTACAAATTCATAACGTACGGAGCAATTGTAGGATGATATGGGGAGACAAGGATATTCAACAGGAGCACTAGGAAGAACTGATGGGAGTCCGGTAGCAGATGCTGACGCCGACGCCGGCGCGGTGTTCATTACTACTCTACGAAGAATGAGTATATTACCAGCAACAGCAAGAGTCGAATTTTGTCTGATGTAGCTGACAGTTGGGGAGTTCGAAATAGATAATATATTGGACTCTTTCTTATTGGACTATTTTTGGACTTTCTTATCGGCCCATTTTAGACATTGGGTGAGGCCCAAATAATGGAAATTGCGCAGTTTGATTGTCCGTAACGTACACGTAATGAACCAACAAAATAACGATGGTTTGATACATAATAAACGGTCTTTTTGTTTTTTAGGTTGCGAACTCATAGTAGGAATCGTTAAAAGTTGGGTAGAATTGTAATTGTTGGATTTGGGTTTGATTGAATTTGAGTGGGATTCAATTTTGGATTTGGGTTTGAAGGAATTAGATTTGATTTTAATGGTTGGATGGGAAAAATTCATAATCCATGTGTTGTCTTTGACACAATTCAATTTTCAGGTGTCAAGTTTCAAAATACAAAACTCAGGTCTTTATTTATTAGTTAAAAATATTTTTATTAATTAATTATTAAAAATTTTATTAAAATATAATATAATTAACTCACCTCACCTCCACTACCCCTACCATTCCGTTGACCGTTCCGGCCACCACTCTTCTCCGGCGACTGTTCCGGCTATGGTTCCGGTTCCAGAAATTATTCTGGCGACTATTTCGTTGACCGTTTCGACGACTAATCCGATTTCGACAATTTATACAATATGGTCACAGATTCATAATTTAGATAGTCGCATATCATTTTTCAATCACAAATAATAATTTTTATACGTCACAGATTATTTTACGGTCACAGTTCAAAAAATTTGTAAGTCACAATTAATTCGTTGGTCACATATCAAAATTTATAGGTCACACAGTCATAAATTTTCAAATTAGTTGGTCACAGATTTTTTCACGATCACATATTATATAAATTTTAGGTCACAGACAATAAAATGATTGGTCACAGATTATCGAATTTTAAAGTCACATATTATAGTTTTAGTCACAAAACCAAAATCACTAGATCCTCTACCGCCGCATAGCAAAACTCGACACACATCGTCGCACGTATGCACAAATTAACCAACCACCAATAATCACAGTCGCCAATAACCACATACAAAATAACCACGACCACGACCACCACCGTCGCACGCGTACACACACACACCACTGCATTACCATCGCACCAGAACTACCGGTCTACACCGAGACCACAATCCCCATCCACTAAACAAAAAAATGGGGAAGATGAGGGGAGGCGCGAGAGGGAGGGTTCATGATCGGCTGCAGTGGCGTCGAGCGAATCACGCTTCTTCGGACCGTCGCGAATCGCGCTTCTTCTGAATCTCGCTTCTTTTGGATTGAGGGCGGTGATGGGCTGGGCAACGGCGGCAAGCTACCGGAGATGTCGTGAACGCTGCCGACGACGTTGTAGACAGAGATGAGCAACGTCGATGGCCCGATTATGGAGAGAGAGGAGAGGGTGAGAGAAAATATGGATTGAAAATNTATTTTACGGTCACAGTTCAAAAAATTTGTAAGTCACAATTAATTCGTTGGTCACATATCAAAATTTATAGGTCACACAGTCACAGATTTTTAAATTAATTGGTCACAGATTTTTTCACGATCACATATTATATAAATTTTAAGTCACAGACAACAAAATGATTGGTCACAGATTATCGAATTTTAAGGTCACATATTATAGTTTTAGTCACAAAACCAAAATCACTAGATCCTCTACCGCCGCATAGCAGAACTCGACACACATCGTCGCACGTATGCACAAAATAACCACGACCACCAATAATCACAGTTGCCAATAACCACATACAAAATAACCACGACCACCACCGCCGCACGCGTACACACACACACACCACTGCATTACCATCGCACCAGAACTACCGGTCTACACCGAGACCACAGTCCCCATCCACTAAACAAAAAAATGGGGAAGAGGAGGGGAGGCGCGAGAGGGAGGGTTCACCATCGGCTGCAGTGGCGTCGAGCGAATCACGCTTCTTCGGACCGTCGTGAATCGCGCTTCTTCTGAATCTCGCTTCTTTTGGATTGAGGGCGGTGATGGGCTGGGCAACGGCGGCAAGCTGTCGGAGATGTCGTGAACGCTGCCGACGACGTTGTAGAGAGAGATGAGCAACGTCGATGGCCAGATTATGGAGAGAGAGGAGAGGGTGAGAGAAAGTAGTGAGAGAAAATATGGATTGAAAATGAATCAGGGTTTGATATATTAGTATTATAATATTATTTAAATATTTAATTCATACCTGATTTTTGATTAGATAAAACTTGTAC